AGCAACAGCTCTCAATCTCCCTGCTCCTACTCTTGCAGCCAGAGTGATTTAAAAATAAATAAGGCAGTTCCTGTCTCTCCCTGTATATTCATTTTCTATTTGCGGCTATGACAAATCACCACAAACTCAGCATCTTCAAACAGCACAATTTGTCCTCCCACAGTTCTGTAGAATGGAAGTCTGACACAGTGAGACGGAAGTCCCACTGGGTTAGAATCGAGGTGTGGGCGGGGCTGCGCTCCTTCTGGAGGTTCCAGGGAGAACCCGTGCCTTTTCCAGCTTCTAAAAGCCATCTGCATCCCCTGGCTTGAGGCCCCCTTCCTCCACCTCCAAAGCCAGCAACACTGCTTTAGCATCTCTCTAGCCCTGTTTCCACCATCATGTTTCCTGTTCTCTCCACTTTTAAAGAAGTGCTGGACTGAGATCTGATCAGTGAGAAGAATCCAACTACGAAAAGAGCTGTCCAGACAGAGAGAGGCAAAGGTTCTCTGGGGGAGCGGGCTTAGATCCCACGTATGACTACACAGGACTCACCTGGATAATCCCAGATAATCTCACTGTTGTAAGGCTGGCGATTAGCAGCCTTAATTCCATCTGGAATTTTTATTTCTCTTTGCCATGTTCCCTAACCTAGCCACAGGTTCCATCTTGAAGGGGCCATTATCTTGCCTAAGACACCCTGCTTAAAACATCACAGTGGCTTCCCCTCACACTGGAATAAAATCAGTCTTCTCATCAAGCTCTATGAGGGTGACAGATGTGTGACCCCCCACAGCATGCCTCACCTCTGGTATCACCGCCATCTCTCTCGCTATATATGCCACACTGGTGTTCTCTCTGTTTCTGGAACACCTAAAGCTCTGGACACCAGAGGACATTTGCTTCTGCCTGGGGGGCTCTTTCCTTGGCTAGTCTTCTCTGTTCAGGTCTCCGTCTAGGCAACACCTCCTCAGACACGTTGCCTGCCTGCTTCCCCCTTACGTTCACATCCCCAGGCTCTAACACATCATCCTGTTTGATTCCCTTTGCAGCACTTACCACGAACTACCATCGCCTTACTTACAGATTTGTTTACTTATCCTCCAGAGCGTAAGCTCCATGAGGGCAGGGGTCTTGCCTTCTGGTTCCACTACAGCTCCAGGGCCCATCACATGGCAGGAGTTCAATATGTTTTTGTGGAATAAACCTTACTGTGGTGAATGCATCTTCCAGCCATGCTGCTTTAGGCATGGTGATCTCATTGAGGTTAAATATAATTTACAAGTTGGTGCTGTTGAAATCCATTTGGGAGTCTAACAGGTAGACAATTTCTAAGACACACAGTCATGAAAAGGAAGGAGACTTCCAACTTCACCTGCCGCTTCATGCCACATACTCCCATACTCCATCAACCATTTCCCAAAAGATACTCTCACGTTTTTGCTGCTAGTTTTTCCAGAGGCAGGATGTTTTGCAATCCATGGCAGTAATGGCAGGCCTTGAACACAGTTTTTGCCTCTTTCCCACTCTGAGTTGGAGCGAATGAATGTTTACAGTAAGGTAAAACTTATTTGGTGATGGGGGGTTTGGTGACTTTCGGTAAAAATCCAGTAAATGAACTGAGCAGAGCCATCAAACTGTTCTAACAGTTAATAATTTCAAATCAAAACATTTAATGCATTGTGAAAAACTAAAGCATACTAGTCATAAGAAGTTAAATTCAACATGATGATATTAAAAATGCATACCAAAAACTAACCTCATTTTGGTTTAGTATTTTCCGATACTCTGTGCTCCGGGCAAGAATGGTGACTCGAATTTTTCCATCCTGAAATCAAAAGGAAAAGACAAAATAATGCTGTGTATTCCTGGAAAATGCATGAAGACCTGAACTAAAATGTGATTTTCACAAAGAGATGAAACCTAAGAAGAATACATTCATGGAATTTTGTTTTAAGCCTGATTCCTTCGCAGTTCTCTCAGGGAATAAAAATGCATCGACTTTAGCCACAGAAGACAAAACCTGTTCATTATACTTCTGTTTGGTTGGTTGGGTAAACTTTTTTTAGCAGAGGTTATATGGCTTAGGTAGAAGTTTGGGGAAGGATGGGGAGATATGGCAAAGAATGACAAATAGGAGAAAAAAAGCACATTCTTCCACTATCCCTAGTTTATCTTTCATAGGTTGTTGACATCTGATTTCCGTTCACTCCAGGTCAGAAACTGTTAACACAGAAAAACACTGTCTTCCGATTCTTTTTTCAGCAAATGTGGTATTGATTTTTATTCAGGGTGAAAAGTCAAGCCCACCTCAGAACCCGTAATGCGATAAGTCCTCGCTTAATGTTACCTCACAGGTTCTGTGACTTTGAGAGAAAAGGTGAAAAGATGTATAATGAAACCAGTGTTACCGTTATAATGAAGTGCATTATTCAAGGACCTGTTGTGTATTCATTACCTTGGGTCCCTCTTGTGTGATGTTCAGTCTGTGTAGTACATGCTGGGAAAATGCCCTGAATAAGCCAGTATTCTGACAGCCAGATATCTAAAATAAAAACAATGGTTCATAATACAATGAATGTTTCTGTATTACTATTTAAGATGTTCTCAAATTATGTATAAATACTATCTTAAAAGTCTATCAAGAATAAATTCCATAAATATGAATGTTGACAATGGATAACATGCTTACCAGAGGAGTATTATAGAACAGTCCGTACCTCATCCGTGGGGGTAGTGAAAAAATAGCTTCTTTAAAACATACCTAACAATGAAGATATTTTAAAAGGTAAGAAAAGACGATTTGTACCCTTCACACCAAAATGACACTTATAATTACAGAAAATAAATTTGAATTAACCTCTGTTTTACATTAAAATATTTTGAATAGCAAACTATTCTACTCAAGTGAAATTCTTGTTTTTGGAAAAGCTATGGAAGAATGTTTTTAAAATCTACATGGTTATTAACAACATGGATTCCAATTATAAAAACAAAACTGAGAAGTCAGAAATCAACAGTAATAATTAATAGAAACTCATATTAAGTATTTACTTGATAAGTGAGTCATCTGCAATGACAATTATTTACAAACATTTCAGTAAAGTGTCCAGTACCCTTTTGGAATCATAAGTTTTCAAATGTATAACATCATAATCTGTAAATGCTTTCCATGTGTCAGAGAACAGGTCGCCATATCCATAGGTGCTCTGAAAGTGGAAACAAAGTAAGTTAGGGCAATAAAAGAATGCAACATGGCTTTTCAAGAATGCAACAATGTACCTAAACTAGCTGGTTAGTGTTAAGAACTAATGATCCCAAAGTAGCTCATAAAATCCATATCAAAAAACGGATTTTCATCTTTGGCCTGAGCAAGTACTTAATTTGATGTAGTGTCATAAAAAATAATCACTATAATTATAATCTTAATCTGCTAAAAGTGTTTTGTTTTGGGCCGGCCAAGTGGCACGTTGATTAAGAGTTGGCTTGGGATGCCAGCTCTGAGCAGCAGGGCCCTGGTTCAGATCCCACATTAGGGCCAGTGACGCTGCGCCCTCTACCGCTAAGATGGTGCACAACAGCTCGACCTGGAGCTGGGCTGCCGTGAGGCCCCGGAGATGGTGTAGGCTGCAATGAGGCTACAGTGGGCTGCCGTAAAGCTACCGTTGAGTGGCTGACAGCCCATGTGAGTGGCCAGCAGCCAGCATGAGCTGCCAAGGGCCATTGTGAGTGGCTGTCCAGTGGCTGGCAACCGATCTACCTCACCTGGGAAGAGCGCAATGATAATACCAACATGGGCCAGTGAAGCGACATCCTCCACAACTAGACTGAAGAACAAAAGGACAGCAACTTATCTGTTCCCTTCCTCGATTCCCCAACACTATTCCCCTCCTCCAATTCCCCAATAAAAAAATCTTTAAAAAAAAAGTGTTTTGCTTTGTTTTTCCACCCTAGTCCTTTGTATTTTCATGTCCAAAACTGTAGTTGTTGTGTTGTTGTTTTTCTGTTTCTTATTCACATTGCAGATACACATAACACATATATATACCACCAGTTGTCCACACTCTGATAAGCTCAGCGAGCAAAAACCATCCGATCAATGGACTATGCCTTTGGAAATAGATTTCAGAGCAAGAAAATGCCATGAAAGTTTTAATATTAAAAATATAATGTATGTATTATAGCTCTATGAAATGATCTACCCATTGACTAATGAGTAACTGGTAATTCCCCATTAATATTAATAATAATAATAATAATAATAATAATAATAATAGCATCTTTCATATTCCTGTGTGCATGCAGGCACTGTTCTTAGCACTTGCTATTATTAATATATTAAACCATCCCACAAACTTAATGAGCTAGGTAATATTATCCCCATTTTACAGATGAGGAAACTTAGACACAAGTTTAATATGCCTAAATTGTAGAACTGGTGTGTCTGCAGTGCTGGGATTAAACCCAGTGCGTTTGGTTCCAGACTCCATGCTCATGAACTCTGTATGGCAGTTGCCTCTCAGCAGGAACTAGTTCTTTCTAGTACATTTACCAAATGCATTTTGCTTCTCAAAACTAGAAATTAATTATGTGCTCCATCAGCTAAAAGAAGGAGATCCATTTATTTTAAAATGGAAGAACTCAGACTGAAAAAGTCAGCCACTAGAAATAAGACCTTCAGTATTCTGCACCTCACTTCCGGAGCAATTCAGCAGGCTGCCTGTCCTGAGAGCCTGAATGGGGAACTAGCAAAAGCCTCTGACCAAACGTGCAGGTTTAAGGTGGATGCACAGAGAGAAGCAGAGGGGGGCGGTCACATCAGGGTGCCCAGCCTCAGGGGCTGATCCGACCTGCCTGCCCAGGCCAGCCACAGTCTGAGTGTCCTGACCTCACATGCCCAGCCACCCATAACCTGGGAGCTTCCTGATGGCTGTGCAGCCCACTGACTGCCAGCACACACCGAGGCGGGGGTTGGAGAGGTTAGCTTAGTTTAACTTAGTTCACTTGAGGAAGACATGGAAAAGCATGCAGCAAGATACAAGGAAGCTTCTGGAAAGTGTCTGGAAAACTTTGAGTCAACTTAGCAAGTTCTGCAGGAGCTACAAGGAGGCAATAAAGCACTGTGTTTCCGAGCACAGGTCTGGGGTCACACTGCCTGGACAGGATGCCTGGGCTTGACTGCTCGCTGACTGTCATGGCAGAGCAGCCTCAGCTCCCTCGTCTGCAATACAAGCTAATGAAACGCTTGTGCACCGAGGGCTGTGTGCACTAAATGAAATACCATCAAGTGTCATTTAAAAAACACAACCTCCCTGAGTTAATCATTCAGGGCTGCTGATGGCTGGTGATTGAGGCCTAGAAGTGCTTACACAAAAAGAAGAAAGGGACTGTTGTGCCCTCTGCTCACAGAAACATTTTCAAGAAATGAAACTGTGGTGGCAGCAAAACTGGAACACAAAGGGAAACGTAAGTACATGCAAGGAAGGAAACCAAAAGAAAGCATTAACATGCCAAGAATTAAAGAACCAACTCTCATCAGACTTCAGGTCAAATTACAGGTTTAGGGAGCAGTGATAATGAAAACCTATCTACGCAGCTCAACCATGAGCTTCACCTAAGTGGACAAAGTGTTAGCAAACCCATCTCCCCTTCTGCACAAGAATCTGATCTCAGGTGGCTGCCTTGCTCTGCTCTCTGGGAATGAAGACAATGTATCAACCGTGTTTCTAGGTAATACTGCTTATAATTTAAAAAGATGCTAGATAGGTAAATCGCACTTGGACTGGGAAAGGGTGCAATGACATTTATAACTGGCTGGATCTCGTGGGGATCCTGGGGGCTTTGCCAATGCAGTTGTCCCAGGAGATACTGGCCCCTGTAGGACATGAGACACCTGTACCTGCCCCAGGTGAATCCCACCTCCTTGTACCAGAGCTGTGCTATGTGGACTGCTACAAGGACTCCTTCCGGAAGAAATGCCTGATGCTTCCCTGCCAGCAAGCTGTAGTTCCCCTGTAACATTGTTCTGAATAGACTCGGACCACCAGGGGGCAGTCAATCAGCGCCCTGCCCTTCAGAGCTGGAATGCTTACTTGAACCCTAGATGACTTCTTGGTGGGTATTCCAATTTTCCAGCTTAGGCAGCCTCTCTCGTGCACAGCACACTATAAACCACACGTTCTCGTGATCCATTGTCTTTGTCATCGTTAATTTACAGAGCACACCTGTTGTGTGTCAGGCATTGTGACTGTTCGTACACTATAGGGTTTATTCTTAAAATGACACTGAGGTAGACACTGTAATGATCCCATCTCACAGTTGAGTGCACTGGGGAAACCCTTGGGGAGTTACCTTGGCAGGTGGTGGGGCCAGTATGGAAAGCAGCAGAGAAATGGCAGGAAAAGAAAAAAAGGAAAAAAAGACCACACTAACAACAAATAAGCAAATAGCAGGTGTAATATTTATGTGCAGGTCTCAGCCTCGCCCTGTGTAGGGAGCTCACACACACAGCACAGCTGCAATGAGGCAGCAGCAGCAGAGCTGCAGATAAGCAAAGGCAGGCGGTGATTACAAGAGGCCAAACCGGGAACAGAGGCAGACAGTGGTCACAAGGGGTCAAACCGGAAGCAGAGGCAGGCGGTGGTCACAAGGGGTCAAACCGGAAGCAAGCTCTCCCTTGTGGGTCATGCAGGGGCTCACAGAGGTCAAAGGCAGGACAGTCTTCATACGTCTGTCTCGGAGGAACACTAAGGACAGGCTTTTGGTCTTTGAGCTTCACCAGCCCAAAGAGAGACAGAAATCTTCCACTGCCTCACTCAAAAATGTGAAGAACAAAGGTACACAGCTACCTTTGTGTCTGCCCATACATATACGTACATGTAAATACATATTCACAGACACATTCCCACTCATCTGCGTATGTATGGTGTATGTGTGCTCGTGTGTGTATTTAAATGTGTGTCTTCGAAAATTCCATTTTACCACATCAGAGTCCCAGATTTACTGAGTGAGGCAAAGACAGAACTGAAGCCAGAGTACACACTTACTCACCGTGTCCCACATCACGATGTACACGTCTGTACTGAATGAATTATTAACATGCTGAGTAATATAAAGATTGATAAAGTCACAGAAGTGGTGGTACATGTTAACACCTAGTATTGGAAAAAAGAAATCAACATTAATTAAGCCCAAAGAACAAATGATTATACAATTTTTAATATACCCCATCTATTTATAGTGAGATAGACTTTTAGCTAAAACAAATGGAAAAAAGAGTTTTTTGGGAAAAAAGAGTTTTTCCAAATATGAAATAATCCATACTCAGTCCTCAATTTACAGGTTCATTGGGTTCAAAAATTCACTTTAAAATTGGTTATTTAGAAATTAGGAATGCATTTTCCCATATACACTAAGTAACAAATAATCATTAAGTTCCCAGAAAAAAAAATAATAACAGAAGCCTATTTAACTCAAAATTCAGTAGAATTATAGGGCCATGAAGATTGTTTTTTTGGGTTTGTTTTTTTTTTTTGCAATTATTTATTTTAAAAAATGAATTAGGGAACACCTGTTCATCATAGAAGTATTGAGAATGATGGCAGCTATTAATATTGTGGTAGTTTTCATTCCTGCCTCTATTTTCCCTATTTAATCACTACTTACAACATTGCTGCTTGGGAAAATATTAGCCAGCTATTGTTTAAAAGGGCTGAATGTCATGTTCTAACTGAAAGACCATGCATGAACTTTGGAATCAGAAGAACTGGATTGAATCCCAGCTCAGCCGTTGGTGAGCCCAGATAAGTTTGTAAAGTCCCTAAGCTTCTCTCCCAGAAACAGGAAATCATTATACTTAGGTGCCAGCTTTGTTAGGAGAAATGCAAAGATTCTCTAAAACTATCCAGCCCTGTGCCTGGCACATAGTGAAACCTTAATGAAGACTAGCTGGGTCCTGCTGGGTCAGATAGAGGAGAGGAGAGCACAAGTGCTGCTATATGTAAGTTCCTAAGGCCATCATTTAAAAAACAAACAAACAAAAACAACATTCTTTTTTCTTTGTATCTCTCCTTCTGACTTAGGTGTGCCATAACCAATATTCAACCTGGAAATGTGCAAATCTAAACTGATAAAAGGCCAGGAACTGACATTTAAAAGATGCACCTTTGAGGAGGGAAAGTGTTGATTAAAAGTGGCTCAGTTGGTTAAGAGTTGGCTTGGGAGCACGAGCTCTGAGAAGCAGGGCCACCGGTTCAGTTCCCACATGGGCCAGTGATGCTGCGCCCTCTACAGCTAAGATTGTAAACAGCTCAACCTGGAGCTGGGCTGCCATGAGTGGCCGGCAAAGGCGTAGACTGCAGCCCCTGCTGCAATGGGCTGCCGTGAACTACAGTGATTGGCCAGCAGCCAGCATGAGCACCCGGCAGCTGGCAAGAGCTGCTGTGAGCTGCCGTAAGCAGCCGTCCAATGGCCGGCGACCGACTGCTTCAGACAGGAAGAGCACAATGATCATAATGCCAACATGGGCCAGTGAAGCAGCGTCCTCCACAAGTAGACTGAAGAACAAAATGACAGCAACTTGTCTGTTCCCCTTCCCTGATTTCCCAACGCTGTTCCCCTCCCCCAATTCCCCAATAAAAAATCTAAAAAAAGAAAGAAAACCGGTGATTCTAAAAGGAGAAATCATAAAATATTCTGACTTCATCCCCACGGAGAATAACAACACTGTGTGCCAGAAAATAAGAGTTAAAAAAACACTCAGTTCTTTTTAGACTGGTATCTTAGATGAATGCTTGGAAGGGGGCTCCTTTTTTCACCCGGAGAAATCTTGGCAAAGAGCGTATTTTCAAATAAACAAGAAAAAGATAGTTCTATTCCAACATACCCCCTTTCCCCAAGCAGCACACAGCACACACTAGCTTTCTCGTGGATCATTCAGCAGGTTCATGACAGCTACTGAGGAACGCAGCATGCACAGAAGAGCACTTGGGGCTCTAAGGATTAATAAATGGCAAAAACGCAGGCTCCGTCCATAAGAAATGTGTCCCCTAATGAGTCTTGTTCTGCAGAATGAACATTCTCTCAAGGTAAGGGTTAATATGAAAAGAAAAACTGGAGGGCAGCATAAGTTAGAAGAAAAAAGTAAGTTATGATTGTAGGCAAGAACGGCCAGTGTCTAGCCCGGCCGGTTGTACCTGCTTTATACACTTTATTGCATAAGTATCTACATAAATTTCACACTTCACACATACTCAACTTTTTTACAGACAGATCAGTGTTTTCTTGGCCCCTTTTAAATTTGAATATTTAAAAAATGAGTCAGGACCTTGAACATAACATTTTTATTTGCTCTTATTTCAAAAACTTCAACTTGTCTGATTTCTGACCCTAATATTTTGTAATATAAGAATTATAACTTCAGAAGGCAGGGCACATTAAAATTATGATCAATAAATTATTGTAATTTTGAAATATTCATGACAGAGGGCTCGCTATATTTCACTGTAGGCCCAGCCTCTCATAAATTTTAACATTGTGGCACAGTAATCTTCATCTCTCAGAGAAGGTAGTACATTCATCCTTCTCCTCTCCAGGTCAACTAGATCACAAAGTTAAAACTGTGCTTGCAAGTTGATAGCTAGATGCTATAGGTATAAATGGGAAAATCACTGTAATTTAACTTTGTTTCCAACAAATATACTGCAGAGCTAACCTCCAGAGGAATTGTAAATTAACTTCAGTCACGAGAAGGATATCAGAAAGTTTGCCAGAAGCGGTCATGGACATTCCTTTCCCACCCAGTACACACAGGGATTTTACTTTGAAAGATTTCTAATGAAGCACAGTCTGACTCAAATGATTAGAGAGAGGACAGGGTAAACCCAATTACAGAAGGTATACATACACCTTCTTCTCTTACTTTCTGATTGAGTATTTCGATACAAATGTGCAGGTTTCTTCTAAAATACCAAAGGTATTAAATAATGGGAGATTCAAACTATTAGGTTGTCGGAAAAGTCATGACGTATTTTGTCTATGTTTTTCAAAGGTCATTTATTCATATAAAGAACAAAGATCAATCGATGATATATTGCCCGTTTTGTTCAATAACCTTTTGCCATCGTTCAGTGAGCTTCATAATTCTTCGTTCATAGAAGGACCTGTCTTTATTTGCGAAAAATTGAACAAGGTGCTATGTACAGCCTCATCTGAATTGAACGTTATACCACGCAAGGAGTTTTGAAGACAGCGAAACAAGTGGAAGTCTGACGGTGCAAGGTCACGCAACTATGGTGGGTGTGGCAACACATCCCATCCAAGCTCCAATAATTTTTGACTGGTGATCAAACTTGTGTGTGGTCTCGCGTTGTCGCAACTCCTTTACAATTAACAAGCTCTGGACGTTTCTGGATGATGGATTCATTCAAACTGTCCAACTGCCGACAGTACACATTCTAATTGATTGTTTGGTTCCTTGGTAGGAGCTCGAAAAACATGACACCTTTAAAATCCCACCACACTGAGAGCATAACATTCCTCTGATGAATGTCTGCTTTCGATGTCGTTTGAGGCGAATCATCACATCAGGACCAAGACCTTTTGAGCACCACATTGTTGTAAACAATCCACTTCTCATCACCAGTTATCAGTTGCTTCAAAAAAGGAGCGTTTTCCTCACGTTTAATGAGCATATTGCGGATATTTATACGCGCCGTCAAATGAACTTCTTTGAGTTCATGCAGAACCCAAATAT